TAGTTATCTTACTAAAGGTGAATTAATTGTACTGCCACAGTGATTTATTTGAAAAAGCTCATATTTCAGAATTCATTAACTGAATTCACTATTGAAACTTAGAAAAAGTGTTACTAGGACATTTTCATTTGTGCTTCATGCTGGAGGTAGTGGGGTAAAGTCACAAAGTTATCCTATGCTCTAAAAATATAGTGAAGAGGAGGAGTTCCTGCTAGAACAGAAAAGTCATATGAATTTTGCCAATATGCTCTATCAGAGAGCTGGTTCTTAGAGTAGTGCAAAGGGCCAAAAGGCACAGTGAATATGTCTAATGAGCACAGTCTATGCTGCTACAGCTGGACTAGAGCTATAGTCACGTTAGTCTAGTTATCTCTGGTTCTAAGACAAGTCAAAGTATAGGCAAACTCTAGTGAATGTGGTGTTCACAAGGATGTATGAGGAAACGCCAAACAGTGTCTACATTTTTTCAAAAATTTGATTACAATTCAGCAATTAAGTTTTTCTCCTCTAAAATCTAATGGGAAAATCACAAGGCTAAATACTTCACTGATGCAACAGTAGATTCACAAGGGTGAGACATTAAAGTCCAAATCCTTACAGGTTTCTTGTACAGCAGAATCCTGAATGAGATATCATTGGAAAAAAGTAAATGTTTTTCTCTTTCCACTTGTACAGTTTTACTTCTACAGAAGGAATATAACAATTTCAGTAGTTAATTGCGTTTTACATCCACAGAAATCAGAAGGTGCAGAAAACAGTGCTGAAAAAGTTAGACCCTCCCCTCCTCTCATTTTTCTTTGTGCTACTAATGCTTACTGGATTTTTAGGCTATACATATAAACTTTAGAGAAAATAGCTTATATCTGAGGAATGCATTGTTAGCTCTCTCCAGCTAAAAGCAAGGATTTAATTTAAGTTTTTTGGTTGTGAGACTTTACTCCAATTTATTTAAATAGAGCAGATTATGAGACTATTCAAGTTACTTTTGTTTTCTTTTGCTGTTGGTCTAATGAATGGCAGCAGTTAAAAGCGCCACTAATGAAAGAAATGGAAAAAAATCCCCCTCAAGTTTAAATGAATACATTTGTTATTAATTATTTTCTCTCTGTATTTTCCCTCTTCCTTAGTGAAAATGCTTTCAAAAAGACGGTGTTCTGATTCTTCAAATACTGAAGAATTGCATTTTCCCCCTTACTTTGTCTTATCTGCTCTCTCCTGTCCTCAGCCATGGTTTCTGAATCACAGAAAGGGAGAGAGAAATGAATTTTGGGGACTAAAACTAGAAAGGAAAGGGCTGAACTGGATGAGAAGGCATTTCTCTGCTCCCTACCCAGAGCCCAGGGAATGGCTGCTGGGCTTCCTTCCCTGCCCAGCACTGCCAAATGACAGCCCAGCCCAGAAACTCTTCATCACCCTTCGGTGGCTGGAAGGTGTTCTGCCTGAAAGACCTAATATTGCTAATTCTCACTTGTGCTCTTCTCCCTACAACTCAGTGACATTGTTTTCAGCTGCTTGACAATGGGCCCTATTTAAAAATGAGCTTTCTCTGAGGTGTTTGTACACGAAGGAATGAGGAAATCCAGTCTCACAAGCAAGACTTCCGTTTTGATCCCACACCTGAAGTCACACAAACAGCTTGAAATCTGGCCAGGTGCGCCTTTGCTCAAATGGCAGCTCCAACCAACTAATTTGCTGAAGTGTCGGGTGCAGGTTTAAGTGTCCTAATTCTTCCCACTTATCTTGTGGCTCCAGAGCTGGTGAAAGCCCCTCCAAATCTCAAACCACGGTGGAGACAAAGCAGTATATAGTACCCCAAAGCAAAGATAAAATATCATTGTCCTCAAGGGGTGATTTACAAAAATGTAAGGCAATAGCTCTGATATTTTCATATCTCTACAGGAGACCAGAAGATAGGCCTATCGAAGTATTTAAACATATTCCTAAATCCAGATGAATTAAATAGTCAGAAGCAGGTGCATAAGTATTCTGCTCAATCAGAGCTGCAACTACAGTATATTTAGAACAGACAATATTTGCAATACACAAAGATCTATTTTTCTAAAATGGCTGTGTCCACAGAAAGGTAAAGGACATCTGTTCCCAGTCTGTAACATGATTTATTAACCACTGAGCATATCCCCCAGCAGCGTTTGTTGCACTGCTCAAGAAAACAAGGAAGTGCAGAGACATTGTTACACAAATCCCATGTGGAAAGAATTCTCTAAAAATGAAAACTCATTAAACCATAATGTCAGAAATACTTATGATAAAAGGAAGCAACCATTACTTTTGTCTCAAAGACCGTATTAAAAATACTTTTACTAAGGCTTTTAGTATTTTTTACTTTTCGCTACAAATGCCCTAAGCAAAACACTAGCTACCCTTTCTATCCCTCCTGTTACGTGGAGTATTGTATGAAAAAGACTTATAGATGAAGACTAAAGCTTGAGCTGAGACTGAAAATATTGGCCCAAATGGTTCATATAGCTATGGTGTACTTTCAGAGGTGCTTCTATTCAATTTGTATTCTAGGACACCCCATTGAGAAATATGTTTTATTTTCTCATGTCTAACCAAACAGAGAAAAAAGTTATTATGTTATTGGGCATCAGGAACAGGCCTGCGTCATTGTTAGCAATTTGATAAAGATTCAGCAGAATGAAGTCATTCTGCAAAAGGACAAAACTAGAGCTTCCTTCAGTATCAGAGGTCTTTCTGGTGTACATCCTACAGCTCTTGGTGATTAATTCCAATGAAATCCTTTGAAATGGGAAAGTAGAATGGTAACTAATGGGTCTCAACTTTATCACCCTCCCTAGAGCAAGGGAGAAAGTCGCCACCTATGACAGTATGGTATGGTCCATGTTAGAAGGCATCCTCTATCTATTTATCTATCTGGTGAGACAGTTCATACTTGGACACAGTCCATCCTCTTTCACAGAGTGTGTGCAAACAACTCATGGCACAGCAGTGTGTACAGTGGCACACAGCATGTGAACAAAATGAGGACTGGCCAATTCCTCCTGGGTGGGAAGGCAAGAAAGTACTGATAATTTGGAAAAAAAAGGAACAAAACTCACAAAATAATAGTTATTTTATGAAACTCATGGACTCTTTGGAATGAGCAAACAGTTTTAGAAACTCGTGCAGTGTGTTAGTTCCTTCAATTTTTCCAGTTTTTCCATTGATGCCATTGAAACTAATTTTCTGTTCCACACAGTGCTGCAAAACTGAGAGTGAAAGATTAAAAATCCAACAAGTTTTCATAACAGAAACGAGAAACAGAAGTATACATTAGCAGAAGTTGCTCTGAAGTAGTGTGGTCCCAAGCTCTGTCTGTCAAGCAGCTCCCAAGTCCAGTGTTTAAAATTATAATAATGTATGTGCAACACTGATTAAATGACTGTGGAGATTATAATTCCTATTGGATTACTGAGATTACTGTTGATTTAGGTGGTGCGATTTCCCAGAGCCACACAGGTGATGCTGATTTTCTTTCAAGGCAGGAGGGAGCTGACAGACAGCACAAAGGACAGAACACACTACTGCTCTACAGCAGCATGGCTGCGATAGGAGATCCTGGCCCAAATACATACATGGGTATAAACTCAGCCCTTTGAAGTCCAGATCCAGGAAATGTTTCTGAAGACAAGACTAGTCTTCCTTTTGGAATCCTCAGCCGGATCACCTATGGAATGTTAATGATGTCTGCAATTATTTCCAAACACTTACCTGCTAGGAACTGTACACTGACATCTCCTTTCTCTCTTCTCCCTCTGCTCTTTAGGTTGACTATGCCCTGTAAATTCATCTCCAGATGGTAGTGGCATTTAGACAGAAGGTTTGGGCCCCAGTATGGCAAATCACATGCCTACACTGACTTCTGTGAGACTATCTACATGCTTAAAATGCAATAAGTCTGTTAAGTGTTTTTACTGGATAGGGAATGCTGCATATATCATACCATTGCCAACTCCTAAACTATCCAATTTCACTTAGGCATCCAGTTTGCTCATGCAGGCAGTGTCGTAGGCTGGATGATGGGATTACAGTAGTCATCACAATCTATGTAACAGGTGATACATTACTAAATCCCAAAGGATTGACATTTAATTTTCTGGAAGCAGTTTCAGCTCCGCAGTGCCCTGGACTACAGTCAGGGTTGGCTTCCTGATGGTTTGGAAACTCTCAGCTGGAACGGTCTAATTTAATGACTGAATATTTTTCCCCTCAAGCTATTACTGTAAGTTCAAATACAATAAAAGCTTGAAATGATGAACTGGATGGTGGTTGCAGCACGATGTTAATAGTCCTGATCAAAAATCCTGCATTTTAAGCAAGTGTTACTTGCAAAATAAATAATTAAAAAAATTACCTGAAGGTATGAGTGTACCCCTTTTCTGTACACAGATACTACTCACCAGATTTCAAATAAGTAAAGAAGCTTTTTGAAATTATAGTTTTTGTGTAGCTTAGAGTTACGTGTGATGATGCAGTGGCAAAATGACACAGAAAATACATATCACCAGAAGGAAATGGACTCAATGTTCCAGTTTGATTCCAGCTGTACTTTACCTTTACATGGCCTTCTATGGTTTTTCCTTAGACCCATAATAGCATTCTTCCTTTATATCCTGATTTTTTTCATCAGTATTATTTTGACTGGTAGACATAGTAACTCACTCACTTCAAAGCTTTTAGGGCTATTTAAAATTCAATAGGATTGCAATATATTCCTTTCCCCCCCTAGATCTATAAGCTCATTTTATTTTCCAAGGAACTGCTTATTCTCACTGTGTGGGAAACAACTAGATCAGATGCTCCAAATGGTTAAAGAAAATGAGTTATTTCTATTATATTCCTTTATGAACTTTTATTAACATAGAGAATTTAGTAACTAGTAAATAAAATTTTTGAATACTTACACAAATTTCTTTGGAATACATCCATTTTATTTTCAGATACAGAGAATTAAAGCAATATGGAGAAGGTGAAAAAAAAGGCCGAACTCTGAACTATTTTAGTAATGCCTCATGCAAGAAGATATTCAATGCCCTGTTGAGCTTGCTGTTGTTAGAAAAATTTCATGAAATTGTGCTGCTGTGGTTCTGTTTCACTGCTATGACCTCATAGCACAGAAAGTTTAAAAGTGGAGGTGTGACAGGTGAAAGAGAAAAACACAAAGGCTATTAAAAAAGACTATTTTACCATTGTTGTAAGTGTTCAATATCGTATCCTGAATTACCAAGTAGCTGGGGTGACTCACTGAACAGGTAAACAAGGTGACACATGCAGGCACAGACTGGAACAGTGAGTTAACAAGCTTGCACTTAGCAGGGCTTTTCCTAATGCTTGATAAGCTGCCTTGTGTGCAGGCTGTTAATTAATTAATTACCTAATTTTTAATTACAAGGCATATAGTTAGAGACAAAACTTTTAATAGACTAATTCATACAGCTCAAAAAAGTAGACAACCTTTCCAGATCTGAAAAAATGAATCTGTTGAAATCTTATCATTTTGCAGCTGTCCTGAAGGGTTTAATGATGGCGTTTCCTCCACTTGTTTATGTTGAGTATTCCCTTAGTCTACTTTGGTTATAATAATACCATCACAAAAGTTTTATGCTGCATTTTCTATGTAAAGCTTTGGCTTTACACTACGAATAGTGATTTTGAATCCCTTAAACTCCTTTTTCTGTAGGTTTGAGACCCTATGGGATTGGCAGATGCTGTGTGATGGCAAAAGTCAGGGCAGTACCTCAATCCACAGTTTGGGAATGTGCAGACCAGTCTTTCCCTGGCATAAGATGCTTTTTTCTCTCCTGTTTTATGAGTCCTGCAGTGGGTTGGTAGATCATGGAGTGGGATCACAAAATGTGACCCCCACAGCGCTGCAAAGAAATGAATAAAAGGTCCATTTGGGATGAGACAAGACGGGAGCAAACTGCAAACCTGAAGAGGTGGATCCTAAGCGTTTCAGATTCATCAGGTCTCTGAATAACAAGAAAACTGTATCCATAAACCTCAGGTCCTAGTGAAATGTTATCTTCACCAATTAAAGTGGTAAGTGAAGTCCTGAGATAAGAGAAAGTGGTCTGAGAAAAGAACATGGTTCCGATAAACCCACAGTGTGGTGAACACCAAAGTTATGAACATCTGTCAAGAACATTAGATTTTTCAATAGAACTCTTTTTTCACCAATTTTCTGTATTAGCTTTGAAGGTGCTAAAAATATTGTTTGATTACATCCTACTACTAGAAACCTTGGGGATTAACTGTTGACAGCAAGTAGGCGCTCTTCTACCCATCTTGAAATGAGTAAGAGTGCATCCTGGGCAAGCACCAAGTTCCTCTCTGCACTTGTAGTGAGATTAACATCGAGCTATTTCAGCCACCTTCTCAGGGCTGTCCTGGAAGCAGGGATTTTGAGAAAAGAAAAACAAAGGTATCTCTGAAACAGAGTTCTTTTCAAAATTTAGGTTTAATAATTTCCAATGACACACACTATGAATTCACTTCTTTCTTTGCAAAGACATGGGGAAAGGTTAACTCAAAAGTAGTTTTCCTCCAAAAGTGTCTTTTATGTGTCTCCCCTGCCTTTAATAGCTGCAGAAGCAAGTGTCAGATGAGACAGCTGTAGATAAGACAAAAATCAATAGTTACTCCCTTCTGAGTCATCAGTAACTAAGTATCTTTTGGTCATTAACTTGCAGTTTCCATGACTCCACAGAGTGTCAGACCCCAAATGCCTGCCACAGTCACTCTGTCTTACTACCAGAGGACCACAGTTTTTTTAAAATCCACTTTTATCTCTGGACATTTGGTTCGTCTATGTACAAATCACCATAAAAAAAATGCAAACATGACAAAGTAATGCAGAATATTTTTGCAGAGAATTCCTCCTCTAGGAGCTCTAATCTTTCAAACAGTGGTGCAGATCCTCTTCTCACATCAGCTTGACACTGGTGCAATTCCAGCAACAAAACCACTTCTGAGTTACACTTTTGTAAAGGAAGTGAAATCAGGCCCATCTATTGCAACCGATAAAATGTACACATGGATAACGCATTTTTCTTGGGACAAGACCCTCCTTTCAAAAACTTGACTTGAGGGTGTTTTCAATGACGTTGACATCCCGTTCTGCCATCCTGACTTCCATGTTTGTGGATTGCTGGAGACGTTTCTGGAAGTTCCCACTAAGCAGGATGTAGAGAAAGGGGTTAATGCTGCTGCTGGCATAGCTGAAGCAGATGGAGACGTAGTAGCTCACGTAGAAGGTCAGGGTTGGCTGAGAAACCTGAATATTCATCAGCTGAATCACATGGAAGGGTGCAGCGCTTACCACAAACACGCTGACCAGAGCAAGCACCATCTTAGTGAGCCTCATGGCTCTCTGCCTGGGGATACTGGTGGTGTAACTGCAAAACAAGGAAGGATCCCAAGGTGAGAAAATGATGGCATGGATTGAGTGTGTTAATGAATGGCAGTTATTTGAGGCCAAATTCACTTTCAGTGCAAGCAAAATCCAACTCTCAACAACTTCATTTTGTTGTTGTTTGCACTTTATTATTTCTTCTGCTTAGGCTGAGTTTGATCCTAGACTACACACATAAGGGACCCCCTGAGCATTGTTTATGTATATTTGATGAAATACTGACAATTATTTTCATTAAAAATGCTTACTCTTTTTCAACATGGGAGCTATATAGCTTTGCATCCCTTTACATATATGACTACATTTTTTTGCTTACAACTGGAACAGAAATATCCAGTTAAAACCTGACTATCATGAGCTTAAGGAAGACTCAGAGAAAAGAAGTAAATGATTCTCCCCTCTGAGGAATGAAAAATTGCACCAAAATGGAAATCAATTTCCTTTTTCATAGAAATTTGGTTCAAGTTGAAATCCAAAGCACATAGTCCTAGAACTAAAACTTGCTGACTAGGAGCTGCTCTCATGGAAACTGGGAAACTATTTCAAGTTTCATGTGTCAATTTTCTTTTATTGCCTAGAATTCCCTGGGCTGTGAACAGTGGCTTTTGGGGCCTGGAGTCCCCTTCCTACAGGATGGGTAATGCAACCTGGAAGCACCCGACCTGTAGATCCCTGGGACACTGCAGGTGGCACCAGACCTGGCACCCACCTTCTCCCAGGGTTTCCTAATCTTGGAGCCATGAGACCTGCATGGCCAGGTGCCCTCACACAGCCAGAAGTGCAGTGTTCGGTTGTACATTTTTGTTGTCCTCAGATAAGCTGAGGACTTCAGCCACAGCTTTCTTCACAGTGTTTCCTTCTAACTGGGTTATCTTGCTCCCTCCCCAGAATCCCATCCTTAATCTGTTTCCTGGGAACCTAATGCAGCCTGAAGCAATGAAAGTTACATGGTGCAGTGCCTAAATGTTGTTCTAGGACTGTTCCTTTTGGCTTGTTACATATAAAACCTTTGGAGTCTGAGTAGAGCATGTGAAATAGGAAGAAGCATGAATAATACTTTACCTTCCCGCTTTCTTGTTTTGCTGATACATATCCCATGTGTAACATAAAATTAAAATATAGCAAATAAATATCAATGGTAAAGGAAAAAAGAAAGTCGTCATAGTAAGATAAAGCGTATACCTGTAAAGCAAAATGAAAAAAGAACAAACAAGGCAATTACACAAAGACCAACTCATAAATGTAAAAAAAAAAATATAAATGACATTTTTCATAAAGTGGTCTCTGATTTGTGATTCTTGATTAGAGATACATGGAGCCTGTTTTATGTAGCAGCAATTACCTAGTACTCCAAGTACTTCAAGGATTAAAATCTGTGTTCAGCACTTCCAGGAATACCGTTGATCACAAATTACACCACTTCACTTTCTAAGTTCTTCATGTGTGCACTTTTTCCAGTACCCATATAATTAGTGAAAATTCTTGCGAACATTTATGCTGCACACTATCAGCTTAATCCTCTGATATTTCACTAGTCTGATAGTAGACCAGTGATGACCATCTTCTGAGCACAGTTTTTTCTTGGATTTTAACTCTAATAAAATCTACACCAGCTTTTCAAGTTGGTTTGCTGGTATTTTGTTACAATTCATGTTATTTTGTTTCTATTTATCCTTTGTCAACTGAAGAACACCATCAAGGAAGGAAATTTGATTGTTATGATTTGTTCCTGATGAATAGGCATAGACTATTTCTTATCACCTTGAAGATTGACATCTTTAAATTTGTTAAACTTTCTGGTTATTGAAGGTCATTGTTTTTTACCCTATCAGAGTCTCCTTTTACTTGTCTTCATACTTTTCTGTGTGAAAGCTGCTAATGTGGAAATAAACAAGCCTCTGAGAATTGGTCATGCCATCTGAGAAAGGATGGACTAGGCTGAATTCCCCAAATCCTTTCAACTTTGTTTTTCTCCTATTTTCTCTGATTTCTTTCAGGTTATTGGGAGTGTCACGTCCTTCAAAAGTTCTTGAAAATAATCAGGGGTTGTTTTTATTAATATCTTAAGTCTTCAGCAGAGAAAGTCATCAAACTTTGCTGACATTCAAAGATTTAACTTCTGTACTGTTACACATTTTTTTCTCTTTTTCTGGTGCTCCAGAGTTAGAATTCATTCCATTAAAAATCTGGTTAAAATTCAATTGCTGGGAGGGTAGAAGGGAGGAGGGGGGAAAGGGACTGGAACAAAAAGTGCTCAAACACACTCTTTTAGGCTTTGTCTACAATAACAAATAATGTAATGAACAGCATAATGTAAATGATTAGTATAACTCTGTATTGTGAAGTACTTGATGCTTAGGACGTGACACATTATACTCATGTTCAGGGGTTTAACTTTGAATTTTCTCTAACTGGATCCTGTGGATTGAGGCCTGAGTGCACAACAGTGATTGAATTTCATTCACTGAGTTCCCAGAGCACTTTTTCCAGCCTGATTTCACCCAAAAAGAATACAGATCATGTGCTCTGAGACTACTGAATAATGTGAATTTAAGTAATTAGAGACAATTCGGACACTCACTCCAAACATGCCTTCCTCATCCAAATTAACACAGTAACATAAAAGCACCTAGAATCAGTCTAAATTTGCTATCTGTTAGATAAGGTTTTTAAAATTTTCTTCTATGTCCCTTGCTAGTCAGCTTGAATTTAACAAATTGGCAGGAATCTGCTTGGCCATGAGGTACTGGAAAGTCAAGTGGAGTGTTTAATCTCTTCTGTGATCTATATCTTCCAAACATGACAGAATACCAGGTCAGAAAGGGCAATGACATCCCATTTGTGAACAACAGTTCCCTAAACGCAGCAAGAGAAGATAAGGAGAAAGAGAAATCTTTCAATTAGATTTGCTGTGTGGGAGCTGTCTTGCTGAACTTGATCGTTCTGGGGCTGCCTCTTTATTACCAATACATCTGAGATACAGTGACTTGAATGGGACAAGGCTCAGCTTCAGCTTTAATCCTGTTCCATCCGTTCATCCATGCAAGGGGTTGTTTTTATTAATATCTTAAGTCTTCAGCAGAGAAAGTCATCAAACTTTGCTGACATTCAAAGATTTAACTTCTGTACTGTTACACATTTTTTTCTCTTTTTCTGGTGCTCCAGAGTTAGAATTCATTCCATTAAAAATCTGGTTAAAATTCAATTGCTGGGAGGGTAGAAGGGAGGAGGGGGGAAAGGGACTGGAACAAAAAGTGCTCAAACACACTCTTTTAGGCTTTGTCTACAATAACAAATAATGTAATGAACAGCATAATGTAAATGATTAGTATAACTCTGTATTGTGAAGTACTTGATGCTTAGGACGTGACACATTATACTCATGTTCAGGGGTTTAACTTTGAATTTTCTCTAACTGGATCCTGTGGATTGAGGCCTGAGTGCACAACAGTGATTGAATTTCATTCACTGAGTTCCCAGAGCACTTTTTCCAGCCTGATTTCACCCAAAAAGAATACAGATCATGTGCTCTGAGACTACTGAATAATGTGAATTTAAGTAATTAGAGACAATTCGGACACTCACTCCAAACATGCCTTCCTCATCCAAATTAACACAGTAACATAAAAGCACCTAGAATCAGTCTAAATTTGCTATCTGTTAGATAAGGTTTTTAAAATTTTCTTCTATGTCCCTTGCTAGTCAGCTTGAATTTAACAAATTGGCAGGAATCTGCTTGGCCATGAGGTACTGGAAAGTCAAGTGGAGTGTTTAATCTCTTCTGTGATCTATATCTTCCAAACATGACAGAATACCAGGTCAGAAAGGGCAATGACATCCCATTTGTGAACAACAGTTCCCTAAACGCAGCAAGAGAAGATAAGGAGAAAGAGAAATCTTTCAATTAGATTTGCTGTGTGGGAGCTGTCTTGCTGAACTTGATCGTTCTGGGGCTGCCTCTTTATTACCAATACATCTGAGATACAGTGACTTGAATGGGACAAGGCTCAGCTTCAGCTTTAATCCTGTTCCATCCGTTCATCCATGCAACCGTCCATCCATCCATCCATCCATCCATCTGCACATCCATCCATCTATATGCCTGCCTGCCTGTCAGCCAGACAGAAGACCAGCAGAAGACATGATCCCTCAAGCTTTGAAAGCTTACCAGAGAACATCATCACGTGAGGTTAGATCAAAAGCACAACTTTCCAAACCGTCTTTGAACTTTATTACTTTTGAGTAGACCCACACAGGGAACATCAGAATAAACGATGTCACCCATAAACATAAGTTGACTCGAATTGTCTTGGATCTTGTTCTGAGGTGGGTTAGGCGAAATGGCCGGACAAGAGCGAGGTACCTGTAAAAGCAGAAAACAGCAATATAACAGAACAACAATAAAATATTTAGTCTAACAACCAGAAATACCATTAACCGGATAGCAGTAACTTTCAATACCTGTCATTCCTTTGTTGTGTTTCTGTATCTGTATTAATATGTAGCCGTACTTGTACATTCAACAGGATGTAAATATCTGATTCAAACCAGAAGATCCTTATCTATAGGTGCTGGCAACATGTTGCCTGCCAGACCTTGGACTATTGCTTGAGATCCTGTATTTGTTTTTCACAGATCAGGTTTACCAGCCTGTCAGAACATGGTGCCTGCGGCACTTCAGTTGCTTGGTATTATTGCCCTTGGGCCAATGAAGATCAGGAACCAGGGCATAAGACCAAGAAAGATTCATATTTCATGTGATAATAAATTATTTTTGGTCTTGCTTGAATATGAGTACGAAAGAGATTTCTTTAATTATTCAAGCTTTGCAACAACCAAGTTCTTTTCACTAAAAAAAGGTTAAAGTAATGGCCATTATTGCTAGAATCACAAAAGGCTTTTCTGGCATACGATATCTTAAAAAGCTATGTCTAATTTCATGCAGTTATTCTCAATCTTCATGATGGTGACAGAAAGAACAGAAATCCTCTACATTTGCAATGGTAGAACTGCTTTGTACCATTCTCAGTTCAGCTACATCTCCTATTTCACTGGCCGCTTCATGGAAATAGCCTCTGACACTGATATTGCTTACAGGATCACTGTAATTGAGAGTAATTTACAAGCTTCTCAAGTTGTTAAAACTTGTGATTGCTCCTGCTTTACAAAAAATGTGACCTCTTAGTTTCTGTGTAAACATACTAGTTTCTGTGTAAGCATACTATGTATGCTTTGAGCTTGCTTTCATTTTTCAAGTGGTGCAAACAACATCTCCATGCAAAGTAAAGGAGGAATAGTGCAACTCTTTTTTAAATCAGCAGCAGAGATGAACACTGAAGAAAGCTACAGTTGACATTGCAAAAAACCACAAAAAACCAGAATCAGAAATAAACTGTGAATTAAAGGAAATATTTGTGAGAAAATGAAAGTGTGTAAGATGAAAATAGGGTGTGTTGGGGAAGCATAGAAAAGTGACATTAGTAGCTGTATAGACATTATATGGAGTAAGAATACACTTAACCGAGCATCCCTCTCCCCACAGGCTGTAAGGAAAGCAACAGGACATAATTTTCCATCCTTTGTCGTGCTCTCCATAGACCCTGTGAGTCACCTCTTAGACACATGCCTGCTGCCTGCTGTTAGTGAGAGACTGAACTTTATCTCGTGCCTACAGTTGGATGATATGAAAACTCCTTAATGCTTTCATATGAGGTTTTGGTGAGCTCTCCCTTTTGTTTCAAGCTGGTTAAGCTCACAATGTACCCAACCACAAAAACAGCAGTTATTTTTTATTAGATCTTTCATTAAAAACTGTGTATTGCATGAAGGTTTTTAAGAAAATGCATAGAGATTTTTTACCAGGGTCTGTAGCTGATGGCGTATAGCAACTTTAACAGAAAAATCAAAGTGAAAATAGAGAGTGTGGAAAGGTAAAGCTGTCCCGAGTGGCCAGCTGGGAAGAGAAGCAATAGGGGAGTCTCCAGACAAGCACCCACCTCTGGGCCTCTTCTCCAGTGCCATACGTGGTCCTCCCTGTAATGCTATTTCCACAGTATCAACATAGTTTTCATCAGGACTCACTTCTTACCAGTTGCTCCTGCCTATGATGCCGTTGGTGCTGCTGAGAGCACGCTTTGCTGAGGCTGCACGCTGACTTGCTGTTAAGTTGGGGGCATGCATGTTTTTTGGGTCCACTAATTTCAACCAGAAGTTTTGACCACAGGGTAGGAAAAGGGAGGGGAAGAAGGGGGGATTCCCACGCCGGTGGCAGTCACTTCCCACGAGAACCCACCATAGCAACGCGGTTGGGCTTGCAGGTGCAGGGCTGGAGGATAACAGGGAGAGATCCACAGCGTGGGAACAAGGGGAAAGTGCTGCCCCAGAGGCTCTGGGAAAGGCTGCTGAGGCAGCTTGGGTGACCGGGCGCAGGGCTGCCAGCAGAAAGCCAGCTACAGAGCTTCAGAGAGAGGGCTGTTAGCGATGCGAAAGGCTGAGGCTCTTAAGGCACCGTGTGACGTGTGGCTTAATGGATGGTATTGCCTCTGCTCAAAGGACCAGAGCCCAGTGTAGCTCAAAACTTATCAACAGTGAACTTAACGTTTTGATAGCAGCTGCAGTCTAGCTGTTATCAGACTAATGTGGTTTGTAATAAAACTATCTGCTTTAATGGGTGTTGGACATCATTAAGGGAACGAATGGCATGTCTAAATGAACCCTTTAGCCTGGGATGGGTACTGAATCCACATCTTCCAGCTCCAGAGATGCCCATCACTGCCCACTTACCTGAAACAAATAATAGTGGGAGTGTCTGAGCTGCGTCTCTGACACAGAGAGATAGAGAAGAAGGTAGTGATGGAGCCTGCAGAGCTCTCCAAAAGCACAAAGGTATGTGGTGCCTGTTACCCATGCCTATTACAGTATTTCTTTTTTGTCTTTCTGCCAAATTTGCTGTTACATTGATGCCTGGAGGAACATCTGTGAGACCAGCCGTCACCAAGTACATGGTATGATCATGAAAGCCAAAGTGACACTTTGGAAGAGAAAACATTTCATGGGAGCATGCGCTCCTAGTTGATGTTGTAGCTAATTGCATGTCATGTCTGATTTCTGACAAAGCCATAAACATGTGGTCATACTTCGTCATACACATAGGACAAGGAGAGGGGAAATGCAGCTTAGAGCTTGGATTTTTCCTCACTTTTTTTTCTTCCTGCCCGTGGACATATCTTAACCTATCATATTTGACATCCTACGGTCTAACATTATTGCTAAGTATTGCATATTTATAGAATACAGGAACTATTATTATTATTGCTATAACTAATTAGTATAAATTATCTGCTAATGTTAATTATTAATATATTAGCTGAATTGGCTTAAAATATACTGCTGTTAGGATTGCCCCAAGAGGTAGCAAAGGGTACTACTCCTAAAGGCAAATGAAGGGCTGCTCATTTGCTTTTACCTTTTCCTCTGGCTGGGGTGTTTATGAACTGCATGTGAAGTGAAGCAAGGAGCGACAGAAAAAGGAGTGTGAAGAATGGGTAAATGGATTAGTCCATGACAAATCGAGTGGTTCCGGTTTTAAATGACTGAAAGCCCGTGGCTTTCATAGAGATATGGCCCCACCCTACCAGTGATACTGCCTTGGTAAATATTTCTTAGAGCAACATTACAGCAACAGGCAAACCGGGAACATATTTTCTCACGCCTGTCAGTCTTGGCTGCTGCAAACACCCGCCTGTTTCTTCTCAGCAGTCACAGAGCTACTTACTCCAGATTTATCTTCCCAGCTTCATCTCTCCATTGATATGCCTGAAGCCTTAAGTGGACAGGCTAAATAAATGTTTATGTAGCCCTCAAAATTGACTGGTACCCTATGTAACTCTCAGACTTCAAGAACTTGCTAAGGGAATTTTTCCCATGCACAGAGACACTTTGCAAACAGGATCTTCACCAAAAGCAATTATTTATTGGTTATTACAGCAAATAACAGACAGCTAGGGCTTACCACCCATGTATGACACTCTTTCTGACACTCTTGAGTCTTTGCTGGACAGCTGTCTATGGGAGTAAAGGGGCATCTTCAGACTCCCTGATTTTTGTTAGTATTTTATACCTCTTTGTGACTGTGTCTCTCTTGAACCTTTCAGCTGCTGTCTCCACCTCAACAATCTTGTCTCTGGCTGCAATCTATCTTACCTTTCTTAGCACACATATTTCTACTCTAGGTACTTAAGCAAAGCTTAGCATTTAGCAACTTTCTCAGGAGGCTGCAACAGGATTATATAGCTGTGCCATACCAAAAGTACGCCTTGGATCACAGCAACTGAACCCCCATCAAGAGGATTACACCTTTTCATACAGCCAAAGTTTGCAGAAGTAGCCAGAAGCAGGTGCACTCTGTAAGAAGGGGCCTAAACAGTGGCATTTTCCTCTGAGATGCTCCAGTGGATTCATGTGACAGGAAATGAGATGTACCTCACAGTCTCCTGTCATAGGAATAAACTCCAACATAGGCTCACCACCTGCATCTTGTGTACCACGAAGGAATAAGGCATGATGTGACTCCTGAGTCTGGATCGGTTACCTTGAATGTGTAAGTCTTGGATCTTTTTTTAAAATGTCATAGGCCAAAGTGGTCCTTTGCCATTTTAAAGAAGTCACTGTCATTGCCAATTGCAATGTTAATCTTCATTTAAGTCAAGCGACTTACTGGAATGTTCCAAGTAACAATATTAGTGTAGGACATGATACTGGACCTTCTTTTCACCCACCTCACCATCTCTCCTGTCTCACCAGGGACTGCAACATAATATTGGCCTTGAGGAGACACTGTCTGCAGCGTACACAGTTCTGATTTCACTTAGGCCAGATTTGCACAGTGATATTTTCATTGAACAGTCAGATTTACTTTTCATGTACACGGGGGTGAATTATATTAGGATAGTTTTCTATGTGTGCCTATGTGCATCCATGTCCAAAGAACAGGGGCTGTGAGTTGCTTCTTATGAAAGTTCTTTTAACCAATAGGCAAAAGTTCTGCTAGTGAAGTTTCATCCAGGTATAATTTATGTAATGCCTGCCTGTGGCACAAACATGAATCTGTATGAAAAAAATGTGTTTGATGTCAGTTTAGGAAACTTTCTCATAAATTTTAATAGGCATACTCAACTTGCATAGTTTTTGCAGTTTTCCTTATATGTTTTTTATTTCATATTAAAGTGAGTAATGAAAAACAAACTTTTATACATTGTACCCCTCATAAATTGACCTCTAAAGCTCCATGGAGAGAACAGCTGGTTTTGCCACTTCTTAAGATCTTATAAAGAAATTTGATTTGCAAAAAGAAATGCTGAAATACTAAAGTCTCTGTTGGACCATTGTCTGATATAGTTCACTCCTATTTTATGAAGTAGAGGATTTATGGGAATAAAAACATTATCCAGCAATATGACAGGTATTAATTTGCATGTGATAGTCATTTTATTCAGCTCAGGCTTCTTCAGGAAGTGCCTTCCCAGGTCTGACCTAGTCTTATCTTCCTTTAGAAGTGCTTTTATTTTTGAGAAATGTGAAAGAGAACATGAAGCTGTCTGATACTGCATTAACCATAGCATTTACTAAGGTATAATTATGTTTCTTGCTTTTATTGTGAATTTGGGATGATTTTACAGTCAAGCAAAATCTCATAAATTCTGCTGATTTGTTTTTGCAAAATAGCTGACTTAATCTTTTCACTTAACGAAAGCTCCTGGGTGGATTCAGAGGTGCTTTACTGAAACTATCAAGCACTAAACAGTTTGGGAGCTTGTTATCTGAAAAAAACCTTTGTCTCTCTTGGCTATAGTGTCACAATTGGTAACAGCAGTGATAAAACAAATGGGACAGAAGCAATTTGAAGAGCTCTCCCTAGGCACGTGTATTTGAAATGGAAAAGCTTGCCTCAGAATAGAAAAGAAATCACAGGATTACCCTGTAATTTGGAAAAAAACCCAAATGTCTATTTTAAGACATGGCTTTACTTGGGACTTAAACTGGTTTTTATACCAGGTTTTGATATTCTGTCTTTCCCTATTAGATGTCATGTCTTTTACTTGCCTTAATATTAACTGTCTTTGCATATTTTTTTTTCTAAACCACAAGATTAAAAATATTGTTAATGTGTAAATTCTTCAGGAATATAGTAAAAGTCTGTCATTTGTCACATCACTCATAGGTAAATATAAGAACAGAGCTTTTAAAATTAAACTTCTTGGCTCTTTTTTAAACTGCATGTCAACCAAATAAGACTTCTAATATCGTGCATTAGTGTAGCCTCCTTATGAAAACCATTCTTCATTTCAAAATTATTTTGAACTTTCAATTTTCTACTTTCTGATTTCTGATAATTTTTCTCTCCCTCTCTATAGTGTCTACATTCTTATTCCATGGAAGTATGCTGTCTGGTATGCTACAAGTTCAATAGCAACCATCCTTCTCATTGGCTCTGTTTATCCTAGCTCATAAGTTCAAAGTTGTCTCTTGAGTGTCTTAATGATTGACTAAGGCCTTGTGCTATGCAGGGAAGTTTGTCTTCATGTATTTTTCCTTCTCTGACACATGAAAGAAGACCTCTTTGGTTCAAAGCAGACTTTTCTTTCCTGAATTTGGTCACTTTTTCCTTAGGATCAAGAATACATAGAAGCTGGTTTTGAAATCTTTAGTCACAGTAAAAGCTAAAATTCCTGTTGTACTCTTACTGTATTTTAATAAAGGTTTTAAAAAATAACAGGTTTCTGCAGTCTGCCTGGAAGCCAGTTTTTTGTCTTAAACAAGAATGGTTAAAACAAATCTTCTTTTAGTGACATTAAGCCTTTACACATTAACTGACATTAAGCTGTACCTCTAAAGATAAACCCCAGAATACTAATACTGCTGGTGACTAGCATCACTTAAGACCACGTTCACAGCATGATGCTGTAGCGAGACTTAAAATACTTCTATCACCTCCACAAATATCAGAAAAGGATCCCTGCAGTTTTCAAAATCATTAACCATAACTGATGGCATTTCTCATTCTTGATTTAATGCAGCTTTGCATAAACACAATCAGGCATTCACAGAATCACAGAATCACCATGGTTGGAAGGGACCTCTGACATCATCGAGTCCAACCTTATAAAAAAACAACAACAACAAAAAAAAACAACCAAAAAAGGTATTATTGTGCTTGGGTACAGAATTAAAATCTGAAACCACATACCTGTCCAAACTCATTGCAGTCATAATGGCGCTGCATGTAAACTGGTTGCATGTGTCCAGGGAGGTAATGATGGTGCAAAGAGGGCTGCCAAAAACCCACTCACCTCCACGTGCCCACTGGTGAATAAGAAAGGGCATGCCAATGATATGGACCAAATCTGCTATAGCCAGATTGCAGATGTAGATATCTGGGATAGTTTTCTTCTGAGTTCTGAAATAAATTTGAAGGCGTGAAGATGATTACTTGACATAGTTACTGTGTTGTTTTTCAAGTATGCCATTGATAGAGCAGGCCTCAAAACTGAATGGCACACAAATAAATACACTGTCAGAATGACTATTTTATAGTCAGGGGAAGTTTGTCCACCCAAAGATATTTTAAACTAAACATTTTAGGCTCAACAGAAATATATTTGTCATAATTTTGCTCAGCAGTGAGTTTGAATGAGCTATTTGATTTATTAACATCAGCACAATTATCCATATTCTCCTTTGAAAACTATAAAGTGTTCAAAATAAACACAGGTCTCTTGGGCATAGGAACTCTAGAAATATCAGCCTAGTATTAATAGGAGTAGACATCAGAGCCTTCCTGTGATGTAGTGACCTTGGGCTGAGTCTTGCTTAAAGATGCAAACTGAAGGTTTTCAAGTGCTCAAGGTAAAAACGGAAACCGGTGAAAGAGGAAAGATCCTCTGGGAAAAAAAAAAATAACATGCAATCAAATATTTAAAGATGTTATCCTGAAGTTTATACATACACAGGGAACACAACTGAGTTAAAACCACATGCAGTCTTTATATAAGTACTCTAGATTTGGCTTTTCCAGTTTCATAACGTCTATATTGCATGGCTTTTGTGTCATATATATGCTTCCCTAGGTTCCTTTACCAAAATGTAATCTTTATCTTAGTACACCCCCTGATTTAGGCCTGGATGAATGTTATACATGCAGTTGAAAGAATTCCTGACTTTAAATTGTCTTATTCTATATAAATCAACAAAAGAAGCACAAAGCATCTTTGAGAAGCACTGATATTTATAAAATATTTTTTAGTTACAGGACTATCTAAAAAAGGTTCCTATCTACAATGTCCATATAGAAATCACCTTACCTAAATTGACTTACAAATTAGATATCTAGTCTGAGTATTTATCTAGGTTCCCTCTCAGTATGCCTAACCAAATTTTTTTCCACTTTCTACTGCAAAGCACCAGTTTATATGTCATTCTTACTGGAAGACACAGAAGAACCTGCATCTGAGAGAAATCCACCTGGCTGCCCACAAACCACATTCAGAACTCCACCTCTATGACCATCATTTCCTAGAATGACCTGCATGAGAATAGTTTCTAATTTCATATTTTTCATGGTGCCTTCACTGCATGCTACAAACTATGAAGTAACTATGTTTCCAAAGAAACAAATTTAAGCGAGAGGGAATGAGCCAGACAAAAGCATTTTTTTCAAACATTTTAATAAATTATGAAGTATGATTCACTGTCATCTGGTTATGATGCTGAAACCAAAGCCAGACATCTATAAAGTATATCTTCTGGCACTAATGACCGGAGCTTGTGGAGAGAATGATGCATATGTGATCTTTTTCCTCTAGTGCCTTTAGTTTTGTGAACATTGAAGGATGCAAAATCTCCAGGAAAAGAAAAGCCCCAAACTGTGTTTCCTGCAAGACATCAAATGGTACCATTATGCTCAAACACACAGGTTTCAAAGCGTCTGAAAACTGCCTGCACATGTCATTTTATGAAAAACTTAAAATGGCCTTTTTCTGCTTTATTTCATTCACATTAACAGGATAAATCATACTAAACTAGAAATTACTCTTGGACACAGAATAAGCAACTCAAATTCTCAACTCTCACACTTTATGCTAAACTTAGTCAACAAAGAATGTACAGTGAACAGTTGTCCCATAGTTGATGTAAAGGGAAGTATTGTAATATCCACTGTCTCATGCTTTACACTGAGGGTAAGAAAACTATGCCTTTTTAGATCAGCATCCAGAGGCCAGGACACCTGTTTTCATACAGATATTTGTATAGTTTCCTGTGGTGGCTCAGAGCTACAATATTTAAATAGTATCTTGTGCAGTAAATTTTATGATCTCAAATAATTTTGGCCACATTTTATAGTTATAACTTTCTTATCTTTTATTAAGGTGGTGGTGCTTGCCTTCAACAACAACAAACAAATAAATCCAGGAAAATAATAGTGATAGCCTCAATTTCAAACTCCTTTCTTTTAATCTTTTCAGTGATTTCTACCTTCTTGCCACAGATTTGAAAGCTTCTCATCAATTTCTCAATCCACAGATATTAGCTGGTCAGTTCATCCTTCCACATATGCCAGGTTAGTTTCTCTGTCTGAAGTACCTTATGAAAAACGTACAAAAGGGCAACTGCTGTTCTGCAAAACCTGTGAATACGTCAAAACTGTGGTTAGTCCTACCTTCTCTTCAATTCTACTTCTGCAGATTAAACTTATTAAAATGGATTTGAATGATCCCAATCCTTTAAAAAAAGAGGTGTTGAGCATACACAACAATGTGATAATCCATATACTGGCTGTCACTCCAGTAACAACTTGAAGGAACATGACAAGTGCATTATGTGTTGTCATCAGTCACTATTTATCCCCTCTGACTGCATTACGTGCTGTCATCAGTATTTATTTATACCCTCTTGGACAGAGAGTCTTCATTAACTAGAAGCTTAAGTGTTAATTTGGAAGTGATCTTTCAGGTCAAAGACAAGATGATTTATAAGTACTACACATTTAAAAACTTAAGCACATACTCTTTCTTCAAATAGGAAAGGTGAAAATGGCATCCCTTATGGACTAGGTCTGCAATGGCAGGTAGCACAAGCTTTAAAGTTGTCCTCCTGCCCAGGCCTGTTCTCTCCTACAAAATCTAACCATTCCCAGCCAACCACCTTGACTTAGAAGAAGCTTTTTTAAATTTCCAGCTCCGTTGGTAACCACAGTCCACTTCCCTTCTGCTCACACTTGGAATTTACCTAGATCCTTGGTCCCTGAGAAGAACAGGCCCAACAGCAGCACTCCTACACCTACTTAACACTGTCTTGTAGCCCTTTTTTGCTGGCCAGCACGCACGGTGCTCCCTCTTGGGTCATTTCTGTACGTATTATTTTCCACTAGTTGCTGAAAAAATTCTCAATATTTATCAGGAAAGATTTATAGTATCTTTTCTCCTTTTAATTGAGGATGGAATTCTGCTAAGCTAATTTTATGTTTGAAATTTAGACCTCTGATGTCTCCAAATGATTTTGACTCCTATAATCACTGCAGAGGAACAGAACTCTGGGAGAAACTCAGTCTATTTTAGATAGGTATATCACAAAGATGATTTGTGTTACTCTCAGTAGTGCTTCTCCATGGAGAGACTCAGATGACTCTACTATTGGATAAGGCCTATAAAATCTTGTGGGACTGAATCTTGCTCATTGCTTTTCACCATTATGAAAAACTGCACAAAGAAGTTTCTGTTCTATATTTCTGCCTCAGTGACTTTCCTTATTTAACCATATCTAGTGATGAATTCCAAGTAATTCAACTATCTAAGTTGTTATTGGATAACAATTTTGTCTAATGTTTAGCATTAGATTAGCAATAGATGCAGAAGTTTGTCCAAGATATTCTGGTCCAAAAAAATATTAGTTTAACTAAATCTTGCAGTCAAGCCAGATAACATCACACAGGGACATGTATCTGTTGCTGTGCCAAATGTCATCATGGGAAGTCCCACACTTCTAACATTAGCTTGCTTTTTATTTCTGACACAAATCTAAAACAGAATCATAGAAATCAGAGTAAACTGACAGCATGTCAGTGCAGAGAGACTTAGCTTTCCCATCTCAGCAAGGAATAAAGAGCAGAACAGCTGACATAAGTTGTAGGGCACTGGGTACGTTGTACAATGTTTAGGGTTTTTTTGCTGGATTTAGGAAAAGCAGGAGCCTAAAACTGGGAGATACCCCTTGTTACAGAACAGAGTCATTGGCTGTCACAGGTAACATGACCAGAAAAGATCTCCTCATAACTGACCAGCTTCATCTCAGAAATGCTGATTTTACTTCCACTACTCTTACTGAAGGCTTTCACAGGACATCACTGTTCTAGAAGGTAAAAATTATAATAACCTTCCAGTTATTAGTCTTTAATACCTCCTGACTGGGGACTACCCAATTGTTCTTGTACCAGTTTTGAACAGTCCTTTACCCTTTCTGCTGTATTTGATTCTGATTTATAGAGAGCAAGCACAGACATCTGAGCCTTTTTTAAAACAAATTTAGGTGAATTTTCATAGTTCTCCATTCTTCTGGTTCTAGTAATTGCTCTTTTCTGTTCTTATTCCAGTCTGAATTTCTTATCTTTCCTGTAAACAGCTGGTGAGAGTTGTATTTCAGGCCTTGTTATGAGCCTGGAGAATGGCATTAGGGTTTCCCTCTTTCCCCCGGAAAGGCAGACCCTTACACGTATTACAGCTGTGTGTGCTTCTCACGCAGCTTTAGCCCATTGACAGCCCACAGCAATCCCAGGAGTTTTTTTTTTTTTTTTTTTTTTTTTTTTTTCCTAACTGACAGCAGTCCTTCCTATTTATAAAAGAATACTACTGCAAAAAAATTCTATGTCTTCATGCTATTAAATATTACTGCTTTTCTATTGCTCTAGTCCTTCTATTCTTTATCTGGTTCTTTCTGTGTGACAGTAATACTCCTTCACATCAGCCACAACTCCCCAGCATATATCATTAAGAGTACTATTGACACACTCCTACACTTTGCCTCAAGTCTCTGGGGCAAAGTATGAAATCTGGCTGGCCCCATGATCAGTCCCTGAAGGTTCCACGTTAACTTATTTCTCCTGAAAACCTTCTCTGGAAACTTGTTTCTTATCAACATCGCCTAATACCATCCACACTTTAGCTGTTTTTTCCTCATGTTATAATTCTTGAACTCATTAGATTGTCCTTTAGCGGAGTTAATAACTTCCAACATGATGACATATAAAATCTGATAACATAAAATCTCTGATCTGGCTAGGTTACCTGTGTGTACCGGTTTCAAAAATTTTCTGTTAGTGACTATATCCAGTTGCAAATACACCTCCAGCTGAAGACTCAGAATGCAAGCAATAAGTTTTGTGACACTTATCTGCAATCTCCCATTTTAGGAAATACTATTTTACCACTTACAATTAGTTATCTTATTAAAAATCAAGTTAATCTGGAAAGCCATACTTGCAAGATAATTGAAATTGTATTTCATTCTCTTTTCTCTTCTGTGACATATTCTTCCTTAAAAATACAAAGTCAGACTAATGCAGTTAATTGGGGTTGTCTGAATGACATTTTTCCCCTCCACATAAAAACACAGCCATTCTCCCACCAGCTGGTTCACCGAAGTCAGTAGGTTTACATAAAATGCTTGCTAATAGAGCTGCAGTTTTGGGGACCAGTTTTTGTAGGTTGCTGGGATGAAGATTATTGGGTACTTCTGGCTGACACTGAACTCTTGCGGCATTTTCTCCACCATTTTCTTTTTCATTAAATAGCATCATATCTCAGATCCCTCTGTTATTCCCTAGGGACGAAATTAATTCCCACAAGGAGTGCCAGCCAAAAGTCATTGAGATATGAATTTTTAAACCTGAATCTCAGTGCGTAGACTTACATTTCATTAGGACTTCTAGTTATCTTCTCCCAATAAGTTGCCAATAATATAGTTTTAATTCATGCTTTAAAATGTTTACCCTTAGCTGGCAGACCTGTAAATAAAACTGGGGAGCTGAAATTCCAAGGTTCTTTCTTTACCATATTCTACCATGAGTAAAGCATTTGTTACTGAAAAGTAAATAACTTACTAGTCAATTAGAGAGTCAATCTAGCTTCTTTCTCTCTTAAAATAATTGACTTTGTAATGCTAACAAAATTAAAATGCATGCATGAGAAAATGTGCTCAATACAGAGTGAAGACACAACTCAGAAGCCGAGCCATTGAGTAGAATCTGATCTACTTAGTGAAAGGTGAGAATTTGACATGGTTATTTTTTGAAATGTAACTACATTTTAAATGTACATTCATCTATAGAGCCCGAGGTTTGTGGCTGTCTTTTTTAGTGCTGGTAACTACAATATTAAATTTTTAACATACTACTTTCAAATTATTTTCCTATGTATAAATGTCCATGCCCATAAATTTGAAAGCAAATATGGTTTAAATTATATTCTTTTTTTCCAAGTCATTGTCTGTGTCTATTCCTTCTGTCTCTCACATTTTTATTTAAGCTAGACAAAGGCTTTTCACCAGGAAGGAAAAAAAAAAATCTTTGTTCCTTCTCAATTTCCTTCCATTTTATTATTTTAGAGACTCTACAATTAATTTTTAGAAACTCAATGTTTTCTTTTTTTCCTTTCTGTTCATTCATACATTTAAAAAGTCATATTGCCATTATGTTCACTTCAGACATACTGCTTCCACATTTCTTCTCTTCTGCATTCAGATTATGAGCTACAAGCTTCTTGAGTGTACCAGAAATTTGATTTCTGCTAGTTTCAAGGAAGTTTACTAAAGCTCCAGGTCTAAAAAACAATTAGTTCTAGATAGGCCTTTGGAAATCTTTCCTGTAACAGCACAGCATGTAGTGGTGGAGTCCATCTTAATTAGGACATTAATCCTTGTGGAGTGTGACATATATTATTTTATGCTGTCATAATTATTGGTGTTAGATTTGCTCTGAAGATAAAAGCCATTTTTTCAAGATAGATGCTTATGGATTTTGAGTTTGTGGTAACATCAGCCACTTGACAGCAAATTATTATATAGAAAAAGTATTATCTTGTTAAAATGAAGAGATTAGAAAGTATTTTCTTGCATAAAGGACGCCTGGGTCAGATTTTACGACCCAAAGAACTTTAGCAACTTCAGCAATTTTACCTTCTGAGAATACAACAAAAATACCTTGAGCTATTAATTCCTGTCATGTGAGAATCCTTGAATGGCACTAAGACCCTTGTTTCCAGAAGTAAGGTGATGCTCAAAAGAAGCAATGAGTCCTAGGAAGCTGCTATAAATGGACAAAAGTTAGATAGAGTTTTGTTAATAAAATAATCTGAGCTAGAAGTCCAGTTTTCAAAGGAGAAAAAGACTATATTTCAACTGATCTTAAAAACATTTTGTAAAACATTATAATGCCTGGCTAGTACCATATCTCCAGTTTAAAGCTCAGTCTATGTTTTACATGGGCCAGCAGGAACATTGCTGCCAACTGTAACAGAAGCCAGGGAAGAAGGCATTTTGGTTTCCTCGAATATGTTTGACATCAATCATTCATTTAAGTGCTTTCTCACAAAAGAAAAGGCTACTGCAGGCATACATTACCACTCTCTGTAGTCATGATCTAATTTTTTTTTTTTTTTAAATGAGAAGTAAATGTCAATTACTAAACAAAACATGGAAAACTTCCTATCCTTTTCTTTGCTGGGCAATTCACTTCCTCAGTGTAGTCATCTTTTTTTTTTTTTTTCAGCAATAAATCTTATTGCAAACTGTATTCAATTCCATACCTTATTATTGTGAACACAATGAGGATATTTCCAACTAAGCCTGTTGAACAGATTATTCCAATCAGAGAGGGAAGGATGATTGTCTCTGCAGCAGTTATCACCTGGTAATGGTGCCATCCACTCCAAGATTTGTTAAACAAACCTGGTGTACCGTTCTGACAGGAAGGCTGAAATTCACTCATTCTTCAGTGACCTTAGGAGTTAGTTCTATAGTAGCAAGAGAAAATAATTTATTTGTGGACTAATCATTTGAATATCATTGGTTAAGTGTATCTAAGTGTATATTACTGTTTAGTGACGATCTGAATTTCATAAAATCCTTTCACTGAAACATTTTGTACATTCAGAATGGGACATAAAAGAACTGAATGTACAAAATGTAAAAGCTGAAATATACTCTCTGGAACTTCAAATTTTTAATGCATCTGTTATGTGTCCACATTTCCTCTGACAAGCTATTACAATATAAAAATGGAGGGCTGAGTCAGTAAGGAAAGTACTTAGCTAACCTAAGTTCAGTTATAAAAGTGAAACCCATATAGTCAACATTGTGGAAATAAACACAAGGATATCTTCTCACTGGCCCTAATGATGTAGTAGCATAATTCTTTATTGTACCTCATTTCCTATAAACTCTAGTAGGGAAAAAACTCTTGCAAGTGTAGCAAGACACAAGTATCTGCATTTTGCAGATGGACTAGCTGAGCAGCAAAGGATAACAAACATGCCTCAGGCCATTGCATTGAATCAGTGGCAGAAGCAAGAATTAAATCCACATCTTCTGTTTTTTCTGAGCACAGTCTAACCTGGTCATCTTCCACCTAAATAAAACTGTTGCCTTGTATCATAAATCATTTTAATTGGGTATGCTAGGACTGATGACGCTGGGACACTGCTATGTTAGCAAGAGTGCCGTGACCATGTTTTCCTTGGAAAATTTGCAGTCTGTTCACTGTGAGCAGTGTGCCATATGTTACATGGCAAGGTTTTATTGTTTAAGCAAAGTGAATGGCAGCTGTGGAATGAGTCCATTTAATTTGCTGACACAAGTGTGAGAGAAATACCAGTTTACCTGTGTGTCAACCATGCCCTTCTTTCAAATGATACAACTCTGTTTCTTATTTTTAGGAAGGAATAAAATAAAATAAAATAAAATAAAATAAAATAAAATAAAATAAAATAAATTATGTATGAGATTGTTCGTAGACAGGGCTGGGTTGTACTAAAAATTGGGTGAGGGTAGATGTATTCAAATGAAGAGTAAAGGAGAGGGGAAGTAATTAAGCAGAGATCTACCTACTTGGCCTAAGAACTGAAGAAGAAATTTGGACCACAAAATATCTACCTCAGTTCTGTAAAGCATTGCTAAGACAGGTCCTTCCACCATCATGCAACAAGCCCGTCTGCACCATGATGACAAGACCAGTGCTGGAAATGCAAGGTAAATGTTACTGCTTAGATTATCCATTTATATCCACAGAGGTTGAAGACCTTGAAGCAGCACATATATTTAAACAGTTTACATGGATTTTTATAAGAGTGGATATAGGATACTTTCCATTACTAGGACGTAGTACTAAGTTTCAGAATGAGCAATGAACTGGACACCAAATCAAATAAGATTGCAGAAATGTTAATGTCTGGTTTGGGGTCTGTCCTGCTATTTTAACTCACTGGGATGTTATCACAGAACTGGGACAATTACTGCTTCTGCTTCTTCTGTATCCCCCTGTTTCACTATGCCTACAGCTCCATTGTACCTTTGCTCCCACATAACCTACCTGATGGACAAAAATTCAAGACCAGGTTGTTGCTAAGTGATATCACATATCCTTGTCAATATGATTTTCCTTGGTCTTTATGTGTGGTGTAATGCCTACCACAAGGAGAGAGAAGAAACCTTCTGGATGTTCCTTCCTTACTGTCTTTGCCTTGGCTTCCCATGCAGTCTACTGCCCACACGGTTGTATCAGAGATAACTGCAAGTAATCTGGGTTTACGCTTTTCACAAATACTCACCTAAGAGAACAGCTGTAACTTTCCAAACCAACATTAAATTTCCAAAATAATAACCCTGGATTAACAAACCACTATGGTGTAGAAAAACATCTACCCCTTTGATAGATCTTTTTTTTTTTTTTTTTTTTTTTTTTTTTTTTTTTTTGGTGCAGGGGGAGAGAGGGAAGGGGAAAGGGAAGGAATGTAACAACAGAAATCTAGAAAATACTGAAAACGTGGCTCAGAATATGACATTTTTGTTGAGTCATAGAATTTTAATGACATTGTAGCAGAAGCTCTGCTTGGAGATTTCTATGTAAGGCCAATATAAATTCAATAAAAGAACTGCTTCATCTGAGTTTTTAAGTAAATCACCAGCTACTCTTTAGCTAGCATTACAAAGCAGATGTTTATTTCTGTAATTCTGATGAGTGAACATGAATTACACTGTTAAGGGAAGGTATTATTCTTCACATAGTATGACTTGCTTCACATGATACCAAAATCCAAGCAAAAAAGGGAGTGTCAGTAGAAAGGCTATTTAAATTCAATAGTCCCATCTGATTTTTAACCCTGATTTTAATATTTGAAGGTTATTCTGCACAATAGCCTTGAGAAAACCCCTGTATGTTTCGGTTTTGACTCAATTTCTGCTGCAAGTGAAAGATATGTGTGTCTTCTCCAATAAACATGAAGCAATGAATGATCAACAGAAACGGTCATTTTGACTCATTCCAATGAGTAGGAAAGACTGGAAAACCAGAATTCTTTCAAAGAGTTGAACTGCTGACTTAAAACATAGCCGTCATATCACACAAATATTTTCTTAGCCTTCCTATTTTCTTCTTTATAAAACCACCAGCCGAAGCACTTTGCCTTAAATAATGCCACTGGGATCTTTCTCTGCAAGAGAGGCTTGGAGAGATCCTGACCCTCAGCGTTGTCCCGGGCAACTCACCTTCTGCAACACTTACTGGAGACAGACAGACACCTTTCCACTAGAGACAAGCATCAATCCCAAAGTGGAATTTAAAAAAAAAAAAATTAAAAAAAATTAGAAAAACAAAAGGGACAAAGAAAGAATAATGCCACTGGGATCTTTCTCTCCAAGAGAGGCTTGGAGAGGTCCTGACCCTCAGCGTTGTCCCATGCAACATGCATGTCCCTTCTGCAACATTTACTGGAGACAGACAGACGGACACCTTTCCACTAAAGACAAGCATCAATCCCAAAGTGGAATTAAAAAAAAAATAATTAAAAAATTAGAAAAACAAAAGGGACAAAGAAAGAATAATGCCACTGGGATCTTTCTCTCCAAGAGAGGCTTGGAGAGGTCCTGACCCTCAGCGTTGTCCCATGCAACATGCATGTCCCTTCTGCAACATTTACTGGAGACAGACAGACGGACACCTTTCCACTAAAGACAAGCATCAATCCCAAAGTGGAATTAAAAAAAAAATAATTAAAAAATTAGAAAAACAAAAGGGACAAAGAAAGAAATCCCTCAGGGCTGGCAGCACACAGAGCACAAAAGTTTAGAAAATTGCAGCATCCAGCTCCCGCAGCGCCCCCGCCGCCCCGCTCCCGCGGAGCCCCCGCCGCCCGGGCGCCGTCGAGGAGCCGCCGCCGAGGTGTCCCGGGCGCCCCGGTCTCTCGCCACTCCTCCCGGAGGGATCATCCCGCTGAAAGGGGAGCGGGGAAGCGCTGCCCCCCCCCGACCCCCGGGACAGAGCTCACCTGCAGCCGATCCCCGCTCCTGAACCCGCACCCGCCGCTTCGTCACGCCGCGCTCGGCGGAACATCGAGGGAACAGCGCGTTACAGCCGACACACCGCCGGCGGCTGCGCCCAGCTCCGAACGCTTACACAAATGCTAAATATATGTAAAAAACCCCCAACCTAGCACGATAGTTACCCTGGAGGAAACAAACAAACAAAACCCCTCTCTGAGAGGAGTTTAAAGACCACAGGAAAATGTGATACCTGTTTTAGTGCCCACTCCGAGTTCCGCAGCGCTGACATCTTCACGGTTTTAAACCTCCCTGACATTTCAGGAATCCTGAGGAAATAGGAAGCAAAAACAGAGGGAAGTGGCCATCACGTCATAATAATTGTCCAAGGACCCTGACTGTTGCTGAGCTGCATTAAAACAGAGCGATTCTAAAAAAGCTTTTCCTTTCAAAAGGATAGCTAAAACCTCCAGAAAATTGCACCAAGGTAAAATTAAGATCTGTCAGTCTGTAAATGTAGTAAACACCCTTTTTATCATTTACTGTGATAAAGCTCAAAATCTGGCAGCTTATTTTTGGCTCTGAAAGCTTTTATTTGCTTGTCTTAACCATTATGTGCCCATACATTACTTCATTTCTTTCTATTCTTAATCTTTGATAGGGACAATTGACAGTTGGTTTTGGTCCATAACAACTTGACTCAAATTAGGTAACAGTTAATGAATTTTTAACTGATCTGATGTCCACACAAAACATATCTGGTTTGGGACAAGTAATGAAAGAACAAGAATGATTGTCAAGTGATTTGGGGGATGTTTACCTGGAACAGAGGAATAAGAGGAGTAAGTATTTTGAATTAAGATTTAACTGGAGCAGGGACTGGTACTCTGGACTCTCTGCTTACTCATTCTTTCTCTTGCTCTCCTTTTGGTATAGTGAATTTTAATTGCTTCATGAGAACTGGAAGGGCATGAGGAGAAGACGGCAGAATTCCCAGCTCAGAGTTCCCATGTGGTTAAGGCCACAATCACCACAAACTCCCTTGATCAACACAGGTTAATTTATTCCAAGTCAACCAAATCCAGGAGAGTTATCCCGTGTCTCTGTTATAAAAGTAACTTGATGACCATCACCTCTGCTTTCCAAGATAGGCAATTAAGCCAGAAATTATTGTGGAGGTGGGGTGGAGAGAGAGAAAGGGATGGTACCTGGAATATGCTTCATGGATGGAGGGTGCTGCCTCCTTCCCACAGGTGTCAGGAATCTCATTCCCACAGAGAAGCAGGTGATAAGCCCATCTCTTTAGCTTTTCTGGCTTCTGTAGGTTCTGGTTTTGGCACAGAGCTTTCCTCACACGGCACGTGGCAATCTTACAGGATTGTCAGTGAGGGAAATTGTGACCTTTTTGTGAATAATCCATTTTTTGTGAATACATTAGCTCAAGAAATAGCTAAGACGAAAGCTAATTTAAAAAAAAAAAAAGAAAAAGAAAAAAGCATTTGACTTAAAATTTTCCACATGGCTGACTTTAAGCTAAAGGCTTCCACTTTTTCTAAGGTTATCTCAGAAAAGAAGAGACTCATATTAATTTGGGTTTATTGTTATAAGCTTCTCTGCCCCCCTTCTCCCTCCCCCCCCTGCCCCAGGCCCATTTGAAGTATTTTCCCTTGAAACAACCTTTCTTTGAAAGAAAAATGAGTTTATATGGAGAATTTTTGGTTTTGTTCCTAGTCTTTAACTCTCACTTACTAGCGTTTTAGAAGCCAACAGCACACGTTATGTATAATTCACAGGAATTTATCTTGCTTATTTTTTTCTCCCGAAGTGCTGAAAGACTCCAGATTTTACTTCTCTGAAAACATTGTACCCTCCTTGGCCAGGATTTTTTTATATCAGGTTGGAGAAACGCAGTCAGGATGCTTCACAGGGCTACGACAAATAACTATAAAAAGTCAGTGCCAGCAGGTGGTGCTGCTAAACACAGTTTTCCACATCCTTTTCAACCCTGTGCAAAGCGAAGTAGTCTAAGGGTTTACCCAATAGCTGCCTTGAGCTTGCTCAGTTTTACAAAGAACCCCTTGTCTTTGGGGAGGAGAAAGCACAGAATGTCATCTCTGCATGAGAAGAATCCGTACCTGAGCCAAACTTCGCCATAAGGGAGCATTTTTGAAAGACAGAAAGTGCACCCGCATTTTAACCACCTCTCTCCCAAAGTAAACTCATTTCACTAATTATTTCTGCCAAACCAGGGTCCAGCCATTACCTTCTCTTTGACAGTGAGGAGCAGTAAAGAGTTTGAATGCTGAATTTAGAAAAAGGGTTAATAAAACAAAATATTTGTTAATAACTTCCCCCCACGCAGATAGCAGTGTTCCAGGTAGATAAGATTTAAAGGGAAAACTGGAAGAACCGCAAGTAAAGACAATAGTTGCCACCTCTAGAGAAAATGCAGATAGCACTTTTTTGACTTTGCATTCTTGCATGATTCCTTTACATACTCCTACTGCTCCAATGTGCCGCAGAGTGAAAAAGCAATACAATCCCAGTGTTACAAAAATCTCCGTTTTATTCCCCAAGCTCTTTCTATCTGCAAAATATCTAATTGGAGAGAGCTATTATTAATTCTGAAGTGTACACTAGTATCGTATGAGATGAGAAATATTTATTGAAAATACAGTACCAAATGTTAATAAATTCCTCTGTGCACTTACCTTTTTTTTTCATTATTAATGAATTGGTACTTCAGAATGTCTTGGCTCATTTGTACATTTCTTGAGGTAATGTTTTTACAACAAGCAATTCCTTATTGCTTGAGCCTGTATTTTTCATATTACCATTGGCTAGAGGCAAGGGCACATTATGTAAAAAAATAAATCTTTTTCTAGTGATCTTTTCTTAGAGCAAAGGTTCCAAAGACATTAAGAGAGATATTTTTATACCATTCTTAATATTTTGAGAGAAATATAAAAGGTCATTCAGGTATTTATTATCCTGTTTGGGGATTTTTTCTCCTTCAAGCTGACTTTTCTTATTTATGCCTCAAATCATTTATGATCTTATAGCCAAAGAACTTGCAAGAATGTGCATGAAAAGTCATGATTTGAGACTTGATGAGGCCGTTTTCCTTGCTGACATGAAGTCAAAGATATATCCTCAGCATTTATTTACATACTTTCCTGCACAGCAGCAGCCATATATAACATAACTTCACAGCCAAGCACTCTGGTGTTGTGCACAAGAGACATCTCCCCGTTGCCACTTTTCTTTCTGGAGGCATAAGTTTTTTTAGTTATGTCTCTATCTGGCAGCTTCAGGGAAGTTTCTTCCCAGAAGTTCTTGATTTCTTTTTCTTTTTTTTTTTTTTTTAGATGTTGATTTCTATTTAAATTGGCAGCATGCTTCATGTTAGGCAAATCAGAGCATAGCTGGAAAACAAACAAGGCTCATGGAAAACAGGTCTGTACCTTCTAAGAGAACCCCCTAGAGTCAGAACCCACTTTATTTAACCATCTGTTCACCTGTTCACGCAGTTTATGATCTTGGCATCAGGGTACAATCTCTTTCTTGCCAGCTGGATATACGCTGTGGTGGCAAGCTACCATCTTCAGGTGAGCACACACAAATAATGTACAAGCACGTTCTACCTCTTCACAAGCCTAACGAAACCCCAACATGCAGTCATGACAGTGTTGCCTGGTGGTGAGAAGGTCTGATGAACAGTGCCAGTGTCGGTGCCAATGACCAAATTCCTTATGGTCAATTTTATGATTTTTTAAATCTTAATTTCAACCTTTCGCAGCATCAGGACATCTGTGGAGCAGGTTTCAGGTGCTCTGTGCAGTCAGCCCTTGTCAATGGAAACCAGTGCGACAACTGGTCTGTGCACGTGAACAAGGTTAAAGATGCATTTTTATGGGGGCTGTTACTTGACTAGGCAAAACAGACACGAAGTTAAGCCTTTTTAATAAAAATAAAAGAAAGTATTTCGCTTCAAAACCCTTAGATATACCCCTGATCACATTATAAAGGAACTATGTTTTGCAGTCACAGGGTCTTGACTATGCTGCAGGTAAGTTCTTATCAGGTCCTGTGACTGTTACAACAATCACCAACACAGCAGAACTCGTATAGGCTACAAATTCAAAATGGGAAAGCTTTTAATTTGAACCAGTAGAGAGGCTAGAAAGATATGCCAATTCAATCTTTTTCTGCTGCATTTGTCTGGCTGAAACAATAAACTCCAGTGTGTATCTAGATCCTCCTTCTAGTGTATGCACCTGATATATTTAGAGATGTATATTATTAAACACCAGTTCCTAGCTACAAATGTATCCTTTTAATTGTCCTGCACTTAGCTTTATGAATCTCTTTCACCTTCACATTGATCTGCCTTAATGATTTTTTTAATGTTGAGAGATCTGAGGAATGTGAAATTTTCCATCTTGATAAGGGATCTACACATTTCCACTTTTGCCAGCAGAGGTGCCTGCATGACTGAGACCTGATGCCACCTCTGCAGGTTTGTTCTCTTCCCAAACAGAGGAATAAAGTAAGAATCAGAATTACCCAGAGATAGCGTGACAACAAGGATAAAAAGCTAACTCAAAATGAGGTGATAATGCAGGTATCACTCAGAAGGCAAGAGTCCACAACAAAGTGTGCTTTTCTGCCTTATGCTGCAGTATGAGATGTGAAAGTTGTATACACAGAATGATGTTATGTACAAATATATATGGAGTTTGAATTAGCCAGGCACTTCGTGAAATTTTTTTCTGCACTGAAAATGCAGGGAGATTGTTTCTCTGATATTTTTTTCTTTCTAGACCATTGTTTTCTTCAATGCTTTAAGTTAGTCTCTAATGGAAGCGAGTTGTATCTGCCTACAATGAATGACAGCATGAGAACACTCACATGACCTCATGGCACTGCATGGATGTTACGGCTTAAGAAAAACCCATAACAATTTAATGTTGTTTAGACAATTATTCTATCACCTGATGACCCCTGCCCACCCGGAAAGGGGAACTGGGGAACACAAGGAAACATGAGGGTTGAAATAGAAATAGATTTAATAGGATAAGACTAAATAATTAATAAAAATATTAAAGAACCAGTATTAATCCAGAAACTAATATACAAGAATTGTACTCAGCCAATTATATCAGTAGGAAGACCTGAACTCCCTGTAGAGGACAAGAAATGTTGGACAGTGTGAGTGCAATGGCTTTGTGAAGAAGGGAAGGCTGCAGGGGTCCAGCAATGGGGCACGGAGTTGCCATGAAGGGAGAGAGAAACTCCTCAGCAAAATTTCTAATTTATATTGAATGGGA